TAAAGTGACTTTCCTATAGCACAGGTCTGACCATGCCCACCCCATTATTCAACAAACTCCAGTGGTAATAATTTCAAAGAGCAATTGTTGTATACAAGAAATATATTAAAAATAAAAAAATATATACATAATTAAAATGAGATGCTGACAAAATTTAATGTGCATCAGATGATTACAAAAAAATCAGTACATGTAATCATGTGATCAGGCTATAGATAAGAGTAGGGGATAAACCTGTAATTTCACTAGTATAGGGAAGTCCTGAATATGGAAACTATTTTGACTGATGCAGGTCAGCACCTTCTTTGAAATTTATAGTGTTAGAAATTTGCATAGAGAACTCAGAAGTTGTGATTTGCAAAGGGTCACATGTTTCAGAGGCAGATCTTGAACCCAGGCATCCTGGCTTTGATGACATTTTTCTATCAAAAATATAATGTATGTATCTTCTTGCTATCAGACAAGGTGAATTTAAAAATTCAAAAAGTCAAGAGAGATAAACAGGTAAAATATATTATCCTTAAAGGAACCATATACAATGAAACAATATTAGTAATATACATATGTGCACAAAAGGGCATAACATCTAAATTCAGAAGGAAAAGGTAACAATTTTATAGTTATATAGATTGTAAAAGTATTTTTAGGATACTTTAATGTTACTCTCTCAGACTTGGAAAAATCTAGCAGAATGATAAGCAACTATATTGAACTAAGCCAATCTGGAAAGTTAGATTTGAAAGATTTATGGCATCTTCTGAATTGAGGGACTAAATATATGTATTTCTCCACATGGGATGTACCTTTAAAAATAGACAATATGTTATAGCCAGAGAGACTAAAATGATAAAAGAAATATTAAACATATCTTTTATAGGCCACATCATAATAACATTAGTAGTTAACACAGAGACTACAAGCAAACATAAAGATTTTGATATAAAATTAGTAACAATACCTTGAATAATAAGTAGCTCAAAAGAAAAATCATGAAAACATTTAACAATTATGTGAAAGAAAAAAATAATTATGAACCAATACATCAAAATTTCAGGGATGCAGTTTTCATTGGAAAATTTATTTCTGAAAATATTTAACAAAATTGAATAAGAGGATTAATAAATTGATCATGTAATTTAAAAACCTATGAAATCAACAAGTTAATACATGAATCTTATCAATATTTAAAGGATAATAAAATCCTCTATTCTATAAATTATTTTCAATAATTGAGGAAGGATTCTCCTATATTTTCTTTATGAGAGAAAATTTATCCTAATAACTAACCCAGGGAAGAAAAAAGCATGGAAAGAGAAGCCTAGACCAATATGACTAATGAATACATATTTTAAAATGTAAATAAAATCCCAATAAATAAATAACTGGAATATGCATACACCTACGTGCATATACGCAGTATTACAAACAAAAAAAACCCCACCAAAAATCGTACAATTATAGAAACAAATGCAGAAAAACAGTATCTGGCAAAATGCAACATTCATTTATGCTAAAATTCTAAAAAGTACAGGCAAATGAAGATTTTAAAAAGTAAGATAAAATGCCATATTAACCTTGTTAATGTAGTTACTTATGTTTTGATAGTAAACTGTCTAAATTTTACCATAGTTATACATAGATCAGCAGTGAAATTGGACATTTGAGTGACTGCACTTCCAGCCTGTGTGAGACAAGGACATCAGATTTCCGAAAAATTAAAAGTTTATACACATAAGTATGCATATATGTATACACACATGAATATGTATAAACATGCATATACATACAAATAGTTAGAAGTATTAGCAATGAACACCAACTGAAAATTCCCCCAAGTAAGTTTGAGGGTAAAGCAAAGATGTCGCTTTGCTCTACCATTATTTAATGTTAACATATACATAGGGCAAGAGAACTACATTAAAGATAGGAGAAAAAACATTCCTTTTTGCAGGTCATATGAAGATTTACTTAGAAAATTTCAGGCTGTTAAAGGAAAAAAAAACTGTAATATCAATATTTTCACAGACCACATAAATCCAAACATAATAACATTTCTGTGCAGCATTAAAAAAGAGTAGAAAATGATGAAAAAATCCATGAAGCATAACTTCAAAATGTATAAGATATCTTGGATGTTAATCTACCAAGACATACATAGGATATATTTCTCATGTGTGTATGTTTAAAGTACACTTTACAGAATTAAAGGAAAACTAAATATTTGGACAGCTATTCAATGTCTATATTTGGGCAAAATTAATGTAATGAAATAATTTTATTATTCAAATTAATTTATAGATTTGGAACTATATCCAACAGCCAAAGAAACACTCTACAGACCTAGACAAAATAATAACAAAGTTCATTTGGAGGAACTAAAGTTCTAAAATATCAAAGTAAATAGAGGGTGAAAAGTAGGAATGAAGGAATCACTTCATTGCCAGATCAAATTATATTATAATAATAAAAAACATTTGGTTAAAAAATATAAAATGTATGAGTGGAGTGCCCAGATGGAATTAGAAAGAATCTGCCTCAAAAACCCTTTGTTCCACTAACTGAGAACTTAATCTACTTGTGAAAGAACTCATTTTTGGACAAATATTATTATGAAAACTGGAAAGTAATTAGGCAGAAATTACTAACAATATATGTAATATAAAAATATACTAACACTTTATAACATATGAAATGATAAGCATTAATGGATACTGATTTGAGTATAAAAGATCAACCATAAAAAATGAGAAGAGAACAAGACTAGGTACCTTTCACAGCTATGGCAAGGAGAATAAATTTTAGCTAAACAATGGATCAAGCAGATTATAAAAGAAAGAAAAAACTGATAATTTTGATTACTTGGAATTAAAATGATTTTCCATTAATAAAATCTATACCACTAGAAGAAAAGAAGAAACTGTCCGCTGGGGGAAATCTCCCCCCCCCCCCATGAATGTCTTTGCTCATTGTCTGATTTCTAAGATAAATAGGAAATTAATTAAAAAATATAGAAGACCTGGAGTAATTCCCTCATGGTCAAGGAATTAAACAAATAGTTCTTTAAAGAATAGCAAACTATTAACATCATCTGAAAGAAGGCTCCAAATCATTAATAATAAGGAAAATGAAATTCAAAACAACTGAGAGGTTTCAAAATCGTACCCAGCAAACTGGAAACATGCCAAAAGAAGGAAATAATCAAAGTTGGAGGGGCATACTAATAGAATATTGGTGTAGTTATGAATTTGTCCTACTATTTTAGAAAACAATTTGAAATTATGCTTTAAAAAGGTGATTAAAATGTCCGCATCTGTTTTAACAGATTTTACTGTGAGAAATATACTTCAAGGTTGTATAAGATAGAAAGAAAGGTCACCATTAAAATAGTCACAATAGCAATTTTTGTAGCAAAGAACTGGACACAAAGTTAGTTGACTATAAGTGAATAAATTTTTAAAAGCATTTATTAAGCACTTTTTAAGTGCTGGGTGATGGGGATGATGAATACAAAATGACACAGTCCCTGCCATAAAGAAGTTTATATTCTAATGGGAGAGACAACACATTTAGGGTAGTGGTTGACAGGGAAGGGAAGAATGGTCTGGGGAATTATAGGGAATCTGAGTGGAGCCACAGAGCAGTTGATTGCACACTCTTTCCAATACCAGTGGCAGCATTAATTGGGTTACCATTCACAGAGTGAGAAGTGGAAAGGAAGAGACTGGGGTGACAGGGCAGATGACAAGATGCTTATCATTTAGGGCAGGGATTATGGTATAAGAATTTAAAGGAATGTTACTGTGCCACAAGAAGTGATGAATAGGGCACATTCAGGGAAGAATGTGAAGGTTTATGTTGAAAACAAAGTGAAGCAATAGAAGTAGAATCAGAAAAAAACAATATGTGCAACAATTGGACAATGTAAATAATAACAACAAATCGGAATGATGTATAATTGTGACAAAAGAGATTGGTCTTGAAAAATAGTTAAGATCTTTTGGGTTGGAAAACAAGAAAGGAAGTGAGGAGACATAAATGTGGCAGAGAAGTGGTGGTGGTGAAAGGTATGTAAGTAAACCAATGCTGTGTGACTGTTTAATCATTTTGCACTATTTATTTACTAATTGAGTCTATGCTAAAAGTAAGTGCAGCATGAAGTATCTAAGCATATTTGACTACTTCAGACAAAAGTTGATGAAAACAATTATGCCATGATCATGTGACTAGAAATTATTGAAATACACCAAATTCAAAAGATGACAGTGTTTTGCCTGTGAGTGGGGGTTCAGAAGTCATTTCAATCACATACATCCACAAATCCACACACAACTTGACAATGAACCACTATTTAGGTAGGGAGGTGGAGTTAAAGTCAGTGATCCTCTGGTAGCTACAGAGAGCACTGCATTTTCTTGGGACTTCCACCTTTTCAGGGCTGAAGAAACTACCGGAACTCATCTATTGGTGGCAAAAAAGTGCTGCCTGGTGGTTAAAATATTGACAAAATTCTCTAAGTGATCAAATATCCCAGATCAGCTCCTCAATCACCAGCCTTTCTTTTAGCATATGCTCTCTGAAAAATTTGGCAACGAGGTATTATCCCAGCTACATCTGGTCTCCAAAGATGGTCTACCCCTATAATGGTATGGGTAGGCATTATAGAATAAAGCTATATTGACAGGTCTATTAGGTATATACACTAGTCATTGTATTTTAAAGTACACCAAAGTACGTGGTAAACAAGTCTGCAAGAGAAGTGACATTCTGTAATTACCTCTTCCTATCAAAAGAAAAACAATTCACAGAAATTTAATTAATACAGCAAGAGTCTATTTCCTATCTTAATTCTATCTTAATTGCAAAAGCGGATCAATTAGAATCAACAGGAACTAGTGAAGCCCCTATGCAGTTTTAAGTTTCACCTAACAATCCCTTAGTCAGTAGGATCAATATACAGAAGTGCTTAATAGATGTTGAATTGAATTTAATCATTAACATACCTTCTGAAGTTGTATATACTACCTTCACCATCAGTGCCCCCATGAAGCAACCAAATCCATTAAACAGAGCCAAAAAATTCATGGAGATTCCTCTGACTTTACTTGGTATGAGCTTATATGATATTGCAGAACCTTAGGGAGGCAAGGAAAAAGCCAGAATTCAGGAAAATCTACACCCCAAAACATTGTTGCAGATATTGCCTAAATTCTATTGAATTAAATCCCAGACAAAATATCATTGTGGGGTGGTGGTAGTGGTGTCAAAATGAAGAGTAGTTTATGTGAAGTTTGCTACTAAGTACTAAATCATTTAACTGTCATTAGTCAATGACTACAAGGGTTAAAATGCAGCAGAATATGATTTTGTCAGTCTAGAGAAGTGGGTTAGTTAATAGGAATCTTACAATATTCAGGAAATCTCCCCACAATTTGTTAAAAGGACAGTTTTTAATAAATTTCTACACTGAGGTAGGCAACTTTTTGTGCCCCATTCTAGCACCATGATACTGGGATTCTATTTGCATCAAGTTGAAGATAGAAACTTAATCTTTCTTACAAAATAAAATCACTATATATTTATTGACTCTCTACTAAATGCAAGGCACTGCATCAGACTCTAGGTTGTGTGTTTGTATTTTTAGATTTGTTCAGTTGACCACTCATCTAGAGTTAGTGCACAGCAATGAGGACACAATGAATCTTTGGAATAATTCCTTTCTCCCAACATTAAAGTGACTGTTTGTGTCTCAGTTTCACAGGGTCTAAGAAGGAAAAATGAAAACAAAAGGATGAAGTACTTTTTTCCTCTGGCCCCCATCTTCAGAAGATGAGCACTTTTACTCACTTCCTCCCTTCTGCTGGCCCCATGGTTGTGACCTTTCCTTGGTCAACATTAGGTGAATCAGTGGATAGACTTGGAGTCAAGGAGACCAGAGTTCAAATCCTGCCTAAATGCAAGTTATTCACTGTCTCTTTTTCATGAATCTCCACCACTGCCTATTTATAGCTGAAAACCTAAACACATCATAAAGAAATTATATCTGGTCATGATTTTGTATCAAAAGTAAGACATTTTAAGGTGCTACAAGAGAAGAAATTATAAATAACTTTTAAAAAATAGAAGAAAAACTCATAGTAAATGTTTACCATTTGTAGGGAGGGGATGGGGTTAAAGTACATTATTTTGGGGTAGATTTTAACTTTAGGCTGCACCAGCCATACTCTTCTTATGGATTTTGAATAGGCAGAGACCACAAAAAGGGAGAACTTAGCTGTCAATCAAGAAACCTTTACTAAGTGCTTGCCGTGGCAGATACCATGCTAAGGACTGGCATTAGAGATACAGGCAAAAAAGAAAGACAGTCTCTAGCTTCAAGGAACTTGTATTCTAATGGGAGGTGGGAGAAAGTATATAAAAGGAAGCTGAAAAGGGAATAGTGTGTATGTGGGGGTGGTTGAAGGTATCTGGCATCAGCACATGGTAGAGAAATTCAGAGTATATGCAGCTTGTTGAGAGATGAAGTTCAAGTCACCTTGAAACTCCAGTCTTAGACACCATTTAAAATGCCTACCGGAATTTGTCTGTCTCTTTTTAAAAATTTTATATAGCACAGGTATGTATATGTGTGTGAGTGTATGTGTATGCCTCTTTTTTCATTTTATATAGTACAGGTATATCATACACACACATACACACACAGAGTGGGTGTGGGTGAGGTGTGGGACTAACATTTTGGGAGAGGGGCAGATAAATTGGGTTGCAACTGACATTTAAAAATTATTATCAATTAAGCCCTTAATTTTCTTATCCTTTGAATGAATGTAAGCTCCTTGAAGGCAGGGACTGTTTTATATTTTGTCTTTGTATCTCTAGCACTTAAGAGTACTTAATCAATGCTTGTGGATAGATTGATTGATTGTTGACCATTATAATTCCTTCCCTTCACCTTTCCCAATTTAGATCTGTGAAGTTATTTTTCCTGATTTCATATCAATTATCTACCCTTGCTTTTTATTTCTAAAACGGATTTACCTTTCCACACATATATCCTAATGTCTTCCCATGAAGTAGTCTAACATTTTTACTCTACTGTCTATGTGTCCTGAATATATGTGTCTGCAATGTGTCTGCCTTCAATTATCAACTTGCAAAAAACACATAACATATGGAGCCAATGGATTCTTCTGTATAGTACTTAGCACAGCATTAAGTAATTGGGCACTTAGTAATTTGTTGTTTAGTCCTTTTTCAATCATGTCTGATTCTTTGAGACCCCATTTGACATTTACTTCGTAAAGATCCAAGAGTGGTTTTCCATTTCCTCCTTCTGCTCATTTTACAAATGAGAAAACTGAGGCAAACAGGATTAAGTGACTTGCCCAGGGTCTCTTAGCCAGTAAGTGCCAGAGACCAGATTTGAACTCAGGAAGATATCATCCTGACTCCAGGCCTGACACTATCCACCTAGCTGCCCTCACTTAATAATGCTATAAATATATTTTACTGATAATGATGTGTGATGATGGAAAATCACATGATGAAATGCTTTGGGCTTTTTATAGGAAAAGCATTATATAAATTCATAACTATGTTATGTTGTAGCATTTCAAATGATGGCAGAAAACCTTGGTCTAACTTTTAGAGTAATATAAAGAATGTTTATACAAGACAAACTAGAAGAGGTAAAAAGTTTTTGGAAAAAAAGTGATTGCTAAAAGAAGAAACTTTGCTTATGGACTTTACTATCTATAAATATAGGAATACAAATAATTGTCTAAGTAGTCCTATTTCTTTCATTATGAAAAAGTAGAATTTTCAGTCCATTATTACTCTGTTATTTAATTATTAACTGACACTTTTCTCTTGCTGAAATTTCTAGTACAATATAATTCATTAATACACTTTGCTAGCTCTCTGTCTGCTGCATAATCCTTCTTTTGTGTCACTTTAGTAGTTTTGAAAGTGTCCAGTTCCCTTTTATAGTACATAGCTTTTTAAGACCAAGAATCTCCATTTTGACCCTTTCCATCTCTCTTCCTTCATGTTCTATTCTTCAAACTAAAAGATTACCAGACTGATCATTTTTAGGACCAAAGATATTTCCTTTGTCTCAGCCTCTTAACTGCAGGCATGAGACAAACCAATCATTATTCAAAAGTTCTTTTATTTTGCTACTAAATTACACATACCTACTCATAAGCATTAAGAACATATCCGAATTCTAGTCTACCTGCCAATAATTACTAAAATGTGTCTAAAGGTGGTGGTTGACTACTAACACAGATGTTTCATCACAGCATAATCAGATCAAACAAAATATATTGTTATAATAAACTTTAAAAAGTGCCTAGTACTGAAAGCATTGGAAATTTTATTAGCTCTTGCAGGGAGATGGAGGTCTTTCCCTGGCCAAAATTCAGAACCAAGGCAAAGGCTTAGCTGCTGATAGATATGCATATTAAAGAGAGGAATGATGTCTAAGTGGATGGAGAATATTGACTTTGCCTCTTTACTTACTTTTGACTCTGGTGTAAATTCATTTATACAACACACCAGGGAGTATTTTGGGATCATTTTGCTCTAAATTAGATAATAATCTGCAACAGAGTGATTTGATTTCTCATGAAGACATACAGGATAAAAAAGAAATATCTAGTATTAGCCTGGGGACACTCTGTCTGGTTTTTGTTAGTTGAGTGTGGTGCTGATAATTAAAGAGTTATGAGTCTGTCCCCATCAAGAAGTTTTGTATGCTCTATCCTAGCCTTTTAAACAGAGATGGCTCAGGTGGCCTTGAAGAGAAGATATATCTGGATTCAACACTTTGCAGAAACTATGGGATCAATAGAGGGAGATGCTGACAGACAGGCAGAGAACAACACATGAACAGAGACTTCCTGCATATTTGATTAGACCAGTAGAAATCACCAGAGCAATGTGCCCAGCTGAGATACCACATCCGGAGAGGAGGTCCAGTGAGATGAATGTGAAGTCATCATTAAAAGACATTGATGTTCTTTCACTGTCAAAAGAATGAATTACATACACATTCCCTACATTATGGGTCCGTAGTATATGAACCCAATGGATGATGACTCTTCAATGGTGTTGTGCATATTTATTGGAAAATATGTTCTACGTTTGGGCAGGGAGTATAATATTGTGCTTCATCTTAATATATTATTTCATTGCTTTCAACTAATTGTATCCTCTGAGTGACTAAAGAAAAAGGAAGCACATAAATGGGGCTTATGAGCTCTCATTTTGAGTAGAGAGGGCTCTTTTTTTGGGGGGGAGCAATTGGGTTTAAGTGACTTGCCCAGGGTCACATAGCTAGTAACTGTCAAGCGTTTGGTCTGAGGCCAAATTTGAACTCAGGTCCTCTAGACTTCAGGGCTGGTACTCTATCCACTGCGCCACCTAACTGCCCCAACAGGGCTCTTAAGAGTACTTTCAACCTGAGTTAACTATTTTGGAAGCCCACATACTTGAAGAGTATCCCATATGCTGTACTTTCATTGTTCTTAGTAAATGTTACAAGGTGTTTCCAGCTCCCATATCCTTTTTAATACTCTAGTTGGCTGCTGATAGCTTCTGACTATTTGAATAAGAATGAGGGCTTTAGAAAATATGGCCCCTTCTCTATCCAGTCACATATCACAGGAATGATCTTCAGTGAGTCACAGAGGGAGTGGTCTCCTATCAAGAGACATAGGGTTACACCCTCTTGATTTAATACTGTGGACCCTGAGAAGGGGGACAGTTCTCTGTTCATTTAACATGAATCAGATTCTGTCTCAAATGAATGCACTGAAAGTTTTCATCATGGAAAGTCATTGTGCTAATGATGGGGTGATGGGACCTGAACCCTCAAAAGGAAAAGACAATGTCTTTGAAATCAACCCAGTCCCTGAATTATCCCATACATTTTGGTAGCCCAGATCACTGGTGCCTCCACCCAAGGCAACTGGCTTACCCCAGATTATCTAGATCACCTAATTAACCTACTTGATATTCCTTTCACTGTTGCACCTGGCCCACCCCAAACTACTTACCACTCTTTAATCCCATCTAGATCCTTTCACTGTCCCTTTTTGTATATAAGCATCAGTCTTACCCCCATTAAATTGCACGTTCACTAGAAACCCTGCCTGCTCCTATTGGCATTACAATAAATCTTGTTATTTGACTGGAAGAAGTTTGAGCATGTGAATTCTTTCCAAGCAGATGTTACTGCACTCTGACGTTTTGAGGTTCCCAGCAACCCCAAACAACATCACTACCTTGAGGTATCCAATATAAGTAGACATTACATCTCATCTAATGAGGTAGAGCTGAGAACAGACATAATACTCAGCTTCATTTGACCAGAAATAGGAGTACTTCTGGAGTTTTGACCCTTTACATTCCTTTCTGTAATTCACTTGCCTTATAGTTATGAAGAGAGAATGAACCTGGTGACTCTGCAACTCTTACTTATTAGCTGAAAAAGAAATAAAAATTGGGTGGCTCTGCTATTACCATTGATTCTTGGACTGTGGGTACTAGTCCTCAACCCTATATCACCTCTGCCATACATTTTCTCCATTCATAGTGAATGTTGCTGGAGAAGACAACTGTGCTAATTGTCTACTATGCATTAATGTTATGTAATCTTAAATTAGCCTTCACTACTACCAAGCAAAACTGTTATTTTTCCTTGTTTGGCTCTCTCTCTCAATCACTTTGTTAATGGTTCTAAAACTTTTTTCCCCCTTTCCTCAAGCTCCAAGTCTTCTCCATTTCTCCCTTTCTCAGATATTGTAGGTTCCTTTACTGAGAAAACCAAGGCCATCTTCTCTTCCTTTTCTCCTTTATATGGGGAAGAGATGGTCCTTCTCATTGCTAAAGCAAACCCCTGTTCCTGGGCACTGACACTATCCTTTTTTGCAATCTCCAAGAGCATTCTCTGTTGGTAGTTTACTTTCTCATTCTTTGACCTTCAAATCTTCTGACTCCCCACCACTTACTGACTTTTTTCTTAATGCCTATAAACAGGATAAGGCCCTCCCTACTTTAAAAATACCATTTTGCCACCCTAACCCCTTAAACCTTCACTATATATCTTTCTTCCCTTTTACTTTCAAAATTTTAATAATAATAGTAATAACAACAACAATGACAACTTGCACAGAATCACACAGCTTGTAAGTGTTTAACATGGAATCTGAACTTGGGTCTTACTCTCCCTGTGTCTAACACTATCACTACTGCAAACTTTTAGTTAGAATTGTCCACTCACTCTGATTTCCTTTCCTCGTCAGCTTCAGAGCCCCTTGAAGTGTGGCTTCTAACTCTACCACTTCAATGAAACTATTCTCTCCAAAGTTGCCAGTCTCTTACAGATAAATCTAATAGTCTTTTATCAACCCTCATTCACTTTGGCCTCTTTGCAGCTTTTGATACACCCATTTCTCCTACAGACTCCCCCCCCCCTTTTCTATAGCACAACTCTCTCCAGATTCCCCTCCTCCCTTTCTGTTTGTTCCTTCTTATTCTTTGCTGGCTTATCCTCTGTCGTCTACTCTCTTAGTGTGGATGTCCTCCAGGTCTCTGTCCTGAACCATGTTTTCTCATTCTTTTTAGAATCTACTCCATCATATATTTCTATGGTTTCAAATATCATAGCTAAGATGATGGTTCCAAAATCCATATGTCTAGTCCTAATCCTTTCTGAACTTTACTCCTGCATTGTCAATCACATATTGAACATTTCTTGGTTGTCTTCTAGATATCTCAATCTCATTATGTACAAAAGAAATTCCTTATTTCCTTTTCCCCCCAAAGCTGCCCTCCTCTAATCTTTATTATTTTTTTTTTACTGCCTATGAGATGAAAAACTTTTTAGGCTGGCATTTAAGGCCCTTTACCATCTGGTTCCCACCAATGTTTCCAGATATTTCATGCTACTGATGCCATTTGGAGTCCCTGGGAACCCAAAATGTCAGGTTACAAGGTGGCTTCTGCCTGGAATGAATTCACACACTCAAACCTTCTTCCAGTCAAGTGAAAAGGTTTACTGTAATGCCAACAGGCAGGGTTCCTAGTGAACCTGCAACTTGCAACTTAATGGGGGTGAGACATATACAAAAAGAGACAGTGAAAGGATCTGGATAGGATTAAGGAGTGGTGAGAAGTTTGGGGTGGGCCAGATGCAATAGTGAAAGGAATATCAAGCAGGCTAATTAGGTGATATAGATGAGATTAAGGAATGGTCAATATATACAAGTATTCTGGGTACAACCAGAGAGATAGTGAAAGGATGGTCAAGTAAGCTAATTAGGTGATCTAGGTGGCCTAGGGTGGCCAGTTGCCTTGGGTGGAGGTGCCAATGATCTGGGCTGCTGAAATGTATGGAAAAATTCAGGGAATGGGTTGTTTTCAAAGACACTGTCTTTTCCTTTTAGGGGTCCAGGTTCCATCACCCCATCACTACCACCCTTCACAAGTTCTGCATTCCTTGAATTCAAACATTTAATCTACTATCTTCATACACTTGCCATTCCTCTTGCTTAGCAGATACTCCCTTTTCATTTCCACCTCTTGGATTCCTTATCTTCAATATTAAGTTCAGCTGCCACTTCCTTTATGAATGAAGGCAGGGAAAGGATATAAGTTTTAAAACAAGGAGAAATTTTGATATAACATAATATTTAGTCATGTTGTAAACTAAATATCACTGAATTTCGTATTCAACAAATTGGTTTGGTTTTATATATATGTAGTAAAACTAAGATTTTCTGCTTCACAGAGATATTGTTCTTTCTTTCTTCCTTTCTCTCTCTCTCTCTCTCTCTCTCTCTCTCTCTCTCTCTCTCTCACTCTCTCTCTCTCTCTGTTTCCCTATCTTACCCAGGCTAGAAGTGCAGGGTGTGCTCACAGCCCACTCTGGTAGCAGGGCAGCTTTACCCTGTTTAAACTGCTGTGTTTCCAACCTGGGCTAATTCCCCTCCTCTAATGCATGGGGGTGTGTGTGTGTGATCATATTAATGCCTGATCAACTGATCAACTTATCCCACCACTGTTCTCTATAGTTGACAATTCTCATACTCAAGAGATCTGCTAGCATCAGTCTACCTGTAGTAGGAATGACAGGTGTGACTGGATCTTAAAAGTAGAAATTTAGTTTATAAAGAACAATCTAGATAAGCTACCCTCGATCTTTTATTGAGTTAAATTTTGAGTTTTATATCTACTTTCTGAGATGTTAGATCCAAGAGTTCAAACTTTGTTAGCAATATTGAATTATTTAGATAAGGTTTTGGTTTTTTTTACATTACACTTTGCTTGTGCAGACACCATTAAAGCACCTTATTATTTTACTTCTTTTAGGCTTGCTTGTAAGAAAGCCACAAAGAGATAATGATCTTTAAAGGCAGAATATTTCCTTCAAAATATTTTTGTTTTCTTCTTGTTGAGCATGTGGCCTAATGATTAGTGTTTTGATTCAGTTAGTATAGCTTCCATTCCACAGAGTTCTGATAGCATCAATTATTATTCTATATGTGATGAAGCAATAAAAAGAAATTAAACACTTTTAAATGCAGGTGATACACAGGTTTGCTCAAAATTGTGGAAAACAGCCAGGGGGTAAAGAGACAACCATTTTAATTGTTCTTATTAGGCTGATGCTATTTTTCATGAAATAGGTCCATAGCTCTAACATTAGTTGACACTTTTACTTACAGGCTGGATTTACTAGAGCTTCAGCCACACCAAGTAAAACATACTGAGGAGCCAGTTGGAGACAAGGCATGGCAGAAACTGGAAGAATTTTGCCAGAAAGAATCTGCTCCACCAGAGGGAAGTTTTTTCTATGTATCTCAAAGAAGCCAGCTCCCATCACAGACAAGGCAGCAGAAAGGTTACCAGCAACTGAAGGAAACACATAAAAAGAGTAAAAATAAAAATTCCTGGAAAAAGGAATGTGGTAATAAGCAAAAATGATTCTTATAACAAAAATGCTTCAAATCATTACCAATTAGAGAAATTTATATGAAAGTAGCTCTGAGGTTTTACTGTATATCTAGCAGATTGACAAAGATGACAAAAAGAGGAAAATGACAAATGTTAATGGGAAAACAGGTTCATTAATGCACTCTTTTTGGAACTATAAATTGGTATAGCTATTCTGGAAAACAATTTGGAGCTATGGTCTGAATGTTACTAAATTATGCATGCCAACAGCAGCTAGGTGGCACAGTGGATAGAGCACTGACTTTGGAGTCAGGAGGACCTGAGTTCAAATCTTGCCTCAGACATATGACACTTACTAGCTATCCTGGGCAGGTCACTTAACCCCATTGCTTAGCCCCCCTTCCCCAATTGTGCATGCTGTTGACCCTGTGATACATTTACTAGACATATACCCCAAAGAGGCCAAAGATAGAGGAATATGGTCCATATGTACAAACATATTGGTAGCAGCTCTTTTTTGTTCTTGCAAAGAACTGGAAAGTAAGGTGTCCATCAACCAGGGAATGGAATATTTTTGTGCTAATAGAAATGATGAATGGAATGAGTTCAGAAAAAACTGGGGAGATTTTTTTTTTTAATCAACTCAGAATAAAATGAGCTGAATCAGGAGAACAGTTTATGCAATTACAAAAGCAATGTAAAGACAAACAACATTGAAAGTCTTAAGAGGTCTGATCAACCAATCATGATCCCAGAGGACTGATAATAATCAGTGCTACTTACCTATACTACCAACCTACTCAAGATGCAGAATGATATAGAATTTTGGACATTGGTAGTGTGAGAATTTGTTTTTCTTGACTATGTATATTTGTTGTAAGAATTTTCTTTTTCTTTTTTAAGTTGGAGGTGAGAGGGAAAGAAAAGAAATGCTTGATAATTGAAAAATAAGTAAATAAATAAATAAAATGAAGTAGATTTTTAAAAATGTCATCCCCAAAAAACTTGGTTTCTTAGAAAATAAAATAAGCTTCTAATGAAAGACCATTAGTTTTTCAATCTGATACATGCACACACACACACACACACACACACACACACACATTCACACATATATCCTGCTATTTGATTTATAAAATATCTAAGAAATCTAATTTGTTTTTGAGGATGTATAAGAAAAATTCACATTCATATAGGGATATGAATTTGTAAGGGATTTTTTTTAATCTCATTTGAAACAATAACCCTGTGACTGGAGTAGTATAGATAGTATCATCTTCATTTTACAAAGAAGAGGAAGGTGAAACTTAAATAGATTGTGTTTGTCCAAATTAAAATAGTTTAAGCATGATCTACAACTAGGAATTCTGGTTGAAGGTGATCCATGGGATTTCTTCCACCTTGTAATTGACCTAACCCTTTCTTCAGATTGAATGTGACACAGGGACCCATATCCTCTTTCTTAGAGCTGACTGATTCCTGCCCTTTGAGGATTCAGGGTCCCAAAGTTATTTATGAAAAATCCTAAGCCTATGCATCTCAGCCATCACTGGAAGTCTTATAATGCCTGTCTTTAGAAGCATTTCTTCCTCCCCTGAGTAACCCCACATTCCTCCTTAGGGGATCAAGAGCTGACATATCAGGGAGAACATCACCTCTTCTGAGCAGCCCCACCCATGCCTTGAGAGTGATGAGGACTCCTATACAATTGAAAATATTCTGCATCACCCCTAGGATCACTTGACCCTTGTCATGAGGGCAAGGAATTCTAAATTCCTCCTTTTCCCTGGGAAGATTATGGTTGAGAGATGTTGTCCCACCTTGGATTTATATGATGTGTTTTTTTTTCTCTTGCCTATACTAACCTGTATTTTCCTAAAAGAACTGTATTTAGTTTGGAGGAGTAGGAGGAATTTAGTGAATTCCATCAATTTCTGCTCCTTATTATGTGAATGATTCACTACAGACCTGGAGTTCATTTCCCCTTCCCCTTCCTTTGGTGGTAAACTACCACTCATTGGAAGCCTGTGCTACAAAATATATCTTTAACCTGAGCAAACCCTGGTGGCCCCATTTAAATAATGGCTCTGGAGATACCAGAGTTCTTTTGACCTTTAATTTAATGTTCTTTTACTCTTCTTGAATTAACTTCTTACGATTCATTTCACTATTCCATAATATTCTATGGGAAATTTAGAATTGGCAACACTCTCCCGCTTCCAAGATTTCTCCATGTCATGGCATTGTCATTATAGACAAAGTGCTATAAAAGAGCTAAGGCAATTATTGCATAACTTAAGGGAAAGAAAATTCTGAAGTTAAAAACAAGACATCTTATTTCTATCTTAAATTAGGTCCCTAAATTTTCACAGAATCCCTTTGCTAAAAGACATGGGGAATTTAGTGACTGTCCATATTTTTAAAATATACTCTAATTCTCTCATTTTATATCTCTCTGTTTCTGTGTCTCCTCCATTACCTACCATTTGGAGGTCAAAGCAGTAAGGTTGAGTAGAGTGTCTTGGATCTGACAAACAGATGGTGGATTTAGATGCTAAAGAGCAAAGGTGGTTATTCACCACACTATCTACCCCAAGGACTGAGAGTATAGCATGATCAGAAGAAACCACATTTCAACTCTTTTGCCTATTAAAGAGGTTCTGATACAAGGAGAAGAAGCAAACTATTCAGCAAGTATTTTGTGCTACTAGCTGCTTGCTAACCAAAGAAAATCTAGCAGATGCAAACCTTTCTTTTTCCCCTGTGGAGCGGAGCAGAGATTTGGGAAAATATTTGGATCTCTGTAGACGAAGAAATATCCTTGCTTCTGCACAGTTGAAAAATAAAGGAAAAAAAAACCCAAGAAGATAGTGACTCTATTCAAAAGTCGTGGATAAAGTGGAAGCACATTGAAATAGTATCCTTAATCAAGAACAAGTTTGCATAAACAGGGTAACCTAGAAACAGAAAGAGAGATTAATAACAAAAATGTAAATATACTCCTAGACTTAGAAGAGAGAAACACTTGAGGCAAAAGTGAGTCAAATCCAAGAAAGGGAGACCTGTGCCACCCATCTGACATATTCCTTAAACTCTGCATGAAAGTAACATCCCCATTCAAACGTGTATCCCTCACAATACTTTCCTTATGTTCTTTATGTAGGTGACATGTAGGTTTCTTCTTAAAAACTCTAGACTTAGGGACTTTCCTATTCTTTATTCTATGTTAAATAATAGTATCAATATGGTTCATCCTTGCTTTATCCTGAATTTATTGGAATTCTTCCAATATTTCTCTATTGCAAATAATGCTACTATTATTTTTAGATGTATAGTTTAGATAATATTAAAGAAGAGCCCTATTTATAAGATATTTATATATTTACATGATTTTTAGTATTTCAACATAAATGAACCCTCCATTTTGTCAAAGATTTTTCTGTATACATTATTCAATCATAAGTTTTGTTTCCTTTTTATGTCATGCTAAATTTTCTTAATATTGACTTTGAATCCCCAGTACAAATTTGTTTTAGTCATAATTAATATTTTTGGATATATTCCAGTATTGTTCTCTGCTAAGACTGTATTAAAATTTGTTATGTCAACATTAGTTTGTGATTTAAAGCTGGAACTTTAACTTGGAGTTCAGTCACCTCATTTTACAAATGATAGAACTGAGGCCCATAGATGGTAACTGACTTCCTTAAGGGTATGTAGCTGGTAAGTTGCAGATTTGAACTCAGGCCACTTGGCCTGGCCTAAATCCATTACTCTTTCCATTGAATAGAGGTATTCAAAATATAATGTATAGAGTTTATATGATTCCAAGTCCTTGAGATAAGAGTTCAAGTTCTGCCCACACAACATACTAGATGTGTCATCATTGATAAATCACTTAACCTTAGTGCCCCACTCAGTCCTGTAAGACCACAAATTACAGAATAGTTGCCAATGTGATTCATTGGAGGGAATTTTCATACCAGAAATTTTCTATACTGTTGAAGTAACAGATCTGGAACAACAACAAAAAAGATATACTAATGATATTGACCTATAGTTTTTTTTAATGTATATTCTTACCTATATTAGGAATTGGGAATATATTTGCTTCATAAAATGAATTTTATGTAGTACCTTTTTCTATATTATTGAGTATAATTATTAAAATCATTGGTATTAATTTCTTTACTAAGCCCTACCCCTATGTTTCATAATTGCATAGAGTCAAATCTGGTTTCTCAAAAGCTATGCTAATGTAGCAAAAGCTCCTTGGATTTATATTTCCATTTCATTCTGACTAAAAGTAAAACAAAAACAAACAAACAAAGAACTATGTCTGCTTTCTGAGATCAGCCGAGCTAAATATAGGGAGACTCACTGCCAGTAAGCCTAGCCACATGGTACACATGGTAATGAATCCTTTGGCCATTACAACCAATGAACCATCTCCATAAGCCTGGGGCACACTTCCCCCAAAATATATATACTAACAATGGAAAGAGTTTATACACCTAGGAGGCATGTAGAGAAGTGCACACCCATATGTGGCCAAAGCCCACATATTAAAGGGAGAATTCACTCCTCTAATATAATGAAACCTCCCAGAAATACACAATGACTGTATAATGACATGCTAGGTATGTAGTCTCTGCTACATTGATCATTGATCAATGGGATTATGCTGGGCAAGTGGTTGTGGCTTTCCATCTGCTGCAAAGAATCTGATGGCCATTTTGGTTACTGTTTTTCTTCTTTTTTTTTGTTACTGTTTATTATGATGCAGTGACTAGAGAACCTCTACCTGATAAGAACAAACTGATAGCTCTTTAGTCATAGCTGAATCTATGAGTTATCAGATTTATCTAAGGGCCAAAAAGTAAGTGAAGTACCCCAAAGCTCAGATTGCCTGTCTTCTTGACTTTTTCTGCCTGTGTCTGTCACAGTTCCTTGTACCA